TCTACCCACCCATCAACACCTGGTGGACCAGAACCAGTCCACAGACCAGAGGTTGAGGACCACTTGCTTCAGTGATGTGTGTAAGTGAGAGAGCTTATTTAGTAGCTTCTCCTATCTAATTAAAGCAGGCAGACAGACAGGCAGCAGCAGCCTCTCTGCCTGCAGAGAAACACGCTGCAGGATGAAGAGTCCTAATAAGGAGGGGATCACAGTGGCAGACACACACACACACACACACACACACACAGAGCGGTAATCCCATTCCCAGGCTGTCTTCCCCCCCCACCCCCCGGGGCGTTGGCTGTGTGTGTGTCCTATTAGCTTTCTTATGTCATCAAGTTCACTGGGCCAGTCAACCAGTCAGTGTATTTGTCGGTCAGTCAGTCAGTTAATTAACCTTTAACCCCGTCTCATTCAAACAGGACAGAAACTAGGAGACATAAAGCATCTAACTACGCTGCGGGATTACGAATGTAACCAACCACTTCTGCAAATGACAGTCAACATTTTTTTTATCCGAATTACGAAGATTTAACAACACGACCGCATCTTGATCCAGTATGGCGGCTCCAACTGAGGCTCGGTCTGTCGGCGTCTATAACTGCAGCAAAAAGATAATTTGACACGACTTTTAAATCATGGAAATTATCTTTATTTACTTTACATGTAGAGTAAATAAACGTTTGGCAGATTTTTTTTATGCAGAAGAATTTACAGTACTGCTCAGTATTGATGAGAACAGGCAGCGACACCAACCGTCTGGAGTCATCTTCAGATGGGATGAATCCTTAGGCAGTTTTAAGATGCTCCTTAAAAAGCTTCCACCTGTATAGCCTTTTTATAGATCTCCTTTCCTTTGTTTGACTTATTTATGTTGTGTTTCTGTTTTTAACGTCTTTTCATCTTGTTTATTCATCTATTTGTCAGTATTTATATTTTTTATGTATGTGTATGTATATATGCTTATATATGTGTGTATTTTTATGTATGTATATTTATTTGTTTGTGAAGCACTTTGTAGCTGTGTGTTTTAAAAAGTGCTATATTAATAAAGCTTTACTTACTTAATTACTTAGCATCCATCGAATTTTGAAACAATCAAACCATCCCAGTGCTCATTTGAATATTACGGCAAAAACAGTCCTTCACCAGGCATTTGGCAACAATGCAAACACATGAAGAACATGCAAACTGTGGAATTGACATGTTCTCAGGCTTGAATCTGGGCACTGTACAGTGGCTGCCCACTGCTCCTAGTACTTAATATGGGCTACAAAGGTCAAATGTCACTATAAGTTTTACTGTGTGTGTGTGTGTATGTGTGTGTGTGTGTGTGTGTGTACGTGACAATAAAGTTGACTCTATTCTAAGTACTGAACAGTGATGTAGTCTGTCAGCTTCTGGTGAAAAAGGATTACACTCTCGCTTTAATGGAAACATGCAAGCATTTTAACAAGCTCAGTGAGTCAGCCAGGAAGTTTGACGACTAGTCAGCCAACCCCCGAGTCGGTTACGATGTTTATATTTTCATTCTCCTGAAGAGATTTAATTGTTTAAAGCATGTAAACAGTCAGTCAGGAGTTCAGAGGTTACTGAAGTGAAGTCCAGAGGTTCTCACAGGGATTTCACACCAAAAGCGGAAGTGCAACATCATGAGGAGCAAGGCCATTATTTCCCATGCAGAGAGAGCGGACGTGTTCTCTCTCATAGTGACATACGCTGCTGCTCTGATTTGCCACCATAAAGTGCAGAAGAAGTTACACTGACTGGAGCTTTGACCTCAAATGTGTCCACACAACACATGACCAATGGGATTCAGGCAGGAAGTTGTGTCGAAAGTTAGGACTATTTCACGACAGAGAATGGAGGAAAAATGGACTCCGAAATCAAAATCCCACCAGGATTTGTGTAAAAATACTAAAAGCATGGCAGAAAGTTATTATTGTGATTGTTTACATCCCATGTAGCATCCTAGTCTACCTCGTTGGGTGTGTATTCAGAAGGACCTCATGAACAAAATACTAGTAGCTTAATTATGTTGTTTAATTCCCTGCAAATGGAGACAATGTGTATATGTGTTCGCCCCTTCACCTGCTGCCAATAAGGTCTGACATTAAGCACAATGAAGAGCAGAAAATGCAGATTCTTCCGTTGTCTTTATCTTCTCACCTAAACAATACTTCTGTCAAGTCACATCTCTCAGCAAAAAGCCCCACACAGATTCAGTGATAACATCTCTCTGACAAGAAGAGTATGATGAAGCATAACGAAACATAAAGGTCACTGCAAACTCCAGCCTGCTGTTGGAAAACTGGACATCCAACTCCTCCCCCTCCTCCCTCGACCTCCACTCTCCACATAATGGGAACTTCCTGCATAAGCAGTGAATGTGTTGGCATTGGACAGGGTGCTGGATCTTCCAATATGAGGCAATATCCAGGATTCGGGACTGGAACATGTGTCCTTCTGCTGCATTAAAATCAGGAAGTTAACTTAACAGGAACCTAATGAGAGTTTATACAAGTTTAAGAGAGAGTTTGGTAATAAATCAAACATTAATTAACCTGCTAATGACCAGTTTTAACTTCATAGCCAACATACTCAGCTGATGAGATCAGTTGATTTCACCAAGAACTGCAACTGGGATGAGAAATTAACCAGTTAGTCGGAAATTAAACCAGTGAGTCAGTCTGGAGATTTGAAACCAGGCCAGTCAGTCAGGCAGTCTGCCAGTTGGCCTGTAGATGGCACATTAACCCAGTTATTCACTCCCAGATGCCTCTTTGTGTCTCTCTCTCTCTCTCTCTCTCTCTCTCTCTCTCTCTCTCTCTCGTGTGTGTGTGTGTGTGTGTGTCCACTGCTGCCATTGCAAAGCGTTGTACTCTGCTGCTGTGATCTGCTTTACATCAGCTGCTAACAGACAAGAAACCCCTCCGTCCTCCAAAGGTGGAAACAGCGGACTATATAAAAATTCAAGCATTCAGGATTTATTTTATTATTTCTTTGTAGGATTTATGCTGCATTTCCCCTCCGTTTGTGGAAATGTGGTGTGCATTTGAACTCAGAAAAAAATAGTTTCCATATGACAGACTCCCAACAAGGCTGTGATTATCCGGTAAAGTGCTGAATGCATGAAGAGAAGGAAGCCTGCGTGAATAACAATAAACATGCAGGAGTTTTTTTTTTTTATTTACATGTATAAAGACACACAGGGGTGTGGGCTCATTCAGCTTCATATACCAGCTTATTGTTGGGTGTGGATCATACTCAAAGCTTCTTTTTTTTAACCATTTTAAAGAAACGGCAGTGATTATAATTACAAAACAAAATATATATTTTATTATTATAAAACAATAAAGTCGTTGTAAATGTATTTTTAATATACACACATTTGTTTAAAATTAACTGGACCCTCTGGGCATAAAATGGGCGTGTGAGTATAAATGAATGTATACGGTCGGTATTGAAGACCGGGAGCTCCGATTACAAGATCCTTTCTGCTCAGAACTCACGTGAACTGGGGCCGACTCGTATGCTGATTGGCCGCAGCCTCCGCACGTGTACCGGCGAATCCTTGTCCGTTATGTAACGTGTAGTGCACAGGATGAGTGACACGGGGCGGAGACAGAGGAAGGAGGGCTGCGGTATCTTTCAGAGGCTGTTTGGAGTTCATTCATCTCAGTGCACCTCCTTTCACCCACTTACTATTATTATTATTATTGTGGTTATTATTATGCATTTTATAATAATGATGCATGTTATAATAACGATCTGGTGTATTCTCATTTAAACTGCACATAAAAGTGATTTATGCGTTACTTATTTTACATTTTCATCAGTTTTAGGCAAAAAGAAAAAGAAAATCTGGGGTGAAAATGTACAAAATAATGATAAAATATGGTAGGATGAGAAAACAAATATTACTTTAAACATTTAAATGCTTTAAAAATATATATTTATATGGCATAAAACTATAATTTAACAGTAAGAAACAATGATATGCACATATACAAAAGCATATAAAGTAAGTAAGCATGCATTAAGTTTATTTGTGCATGAACTGAAAGTGCATTAAAGTCAGTTTTGTTTTTAAAGCAATATAAATGACACAGAAATATCTAGTTTGTGGCTGAAGTAGCTTTGTAGTAGTAGTAGTAGTAACAGTAGTAGTAGTAGGAGGGGCTGGGGATGGATGGATGGATGGATGTTGAAATCCCATGCAAGAGTTGGAATTGGAAGACAACGTGGCTCTGAAAGCACTCAGCCTGTCTGTCCGCCTGCCTGTCTGTCTCTCTCTCTGTGTCAGATTACTGCATTTAAAAGGCAGAGAGGAGAGACACACACTCTGTAAACTCCCTGCCTTTAACACACTGTAAAAACAAATAAACCCGGCTTACTGTACTCTATCCACTACCTCACATTCCCCACTGATGACTGAGAAAGTTTATAATCCGTGCAGTGACTCACACATGAACAGGGATTAATTAATTAGCCTCTTGCACCATGCTTAAAAATATATATATATATATATGTAATTCCACCTTAAAAAACAACAACAATACATTTAAAGAGGTATTTCTTTCTTTAAAAGTATATATTTTTTTTAACGCCCCTGTGGCGAGACACACAGACATGCAGTGAGACAAGCAGTGAGACACCCGGCATCTCCCACGGATCCACGTGTGTGCTGTTCCTACTTTACCCGCCACCATTTTCCAGGAATCCCAGCCTGCGCGGTATCACTCCGCGAAATAGACAACATAGACCCCGACTTCAACGGCAGATTAACCCATATCGCCGTCGCCCCTTTGTTTTCCGCCGGGACTCGATCGAAACGGGGACCGAGGGCGAACATATTGGCGGTGGGTTTAATTTCCGTTAACCACCCGTGGTCGGTTTTGACGTTTTGGCGCGATTTTGCTCACAGCGGAAGGACACAAACATGTGCCTACCATATAAATAGAGCGACCCCGGCGGGCCACACCTACTCTGTCTGCTCGTAGCGGAGGAGGAGAAAAGAAAAAGAGAGAGAGAGAGAGAAAGAGAGAGAGAGAGACTGGAGATAAACACCATGCTGCCCTGCACTAACTTTAATTTCACACGCAGAAAATTTCACGTTAGCAGATAATTTAGTTTTTTTGTTTTATACTTTTGTGTGTCGGTTGGATCTTATTTGGGATATTTCGGACGTTTCCTCCATTTTTTTTTTTTTAATTCTTCATTTTGAGTTTCCTCCTTCTTCTACCTAAGGACAGTTGAAGGTAAGGCAAGCTGCATGCGGAGGAATATATTTTATTTGGGGTCTTAACTTACAACAGTCACTTCGTGGGTTTAAAGCGTGCGTTTATTATTTGTTGTAATTTAATGTCATGTGTAGTTTTAAAGTGGTGAAATTGTTATAAGAATAAATCAGAGTGCCGGTTTCACGTGGAGACCCGAGGGTTGCTCAACCCATGCGGGGTTTTAAAGGACCCTAACGGCGGGTTAACCTTTGGATTATTTAAAGGACTTTGAGCTGGTTTTTGTCTGGTGCATTGACTTTAAGGTGGAAATACTAGAAAATAGGGTTTGTTGCATTGTTTAGTTTTTTGTAAATGTGTAAAAAAAATAAAAAAATCTTGTTAAAAATCTAACAGAAACTGAGTCGTGCAGCACAACGCGATTAAACAGGAGAGAGCTTAATTTGCATTCAAAACCTCATTTAGAAATATGTGTATTTTAGATCTTTAATGTGAGAGTTTGCACTGAATGGTATGCATTCATGTGTAATACACAGTCGTTTAGTGTTATGTCCTGTGTGTGTGTGTGTGTGTGTGTGTGTGTGTGTGTGTGGGGGGGGGGAAGGGGGTGTCATCATAAACACTAATAATGACTTTATGTTTTTTTTTTTTCTACCTTCCTGTCACGGTGCATGCTGGGTCTGTGTCATAAGTTTTTGGCTGTGGTAAAGAAAGGCAGCCTTTTAACTCCCATAAGTCTGTCTGCCCACACACACACTGTGGCTTTGTTCTCCAGTGCAGCCTGCTATAACTTGCAGGCACATACCATAAGAGCCTCATAGGAATATTTTAAGATTTCTCCCACACCAAATAAGGCTGCTTCTTAACTGAGCACACCCCTTTTCTCTCTTTTTAAAAAATAAATTATCTATTTTATTGCATTTCGCAATGTAATTAGAAGTATTTAATGGTGGGTTAATGGCTAAGTAATAGCAGTAGAAATCATGCATGTCTTGACTGGTTTTAGTGTTTTCATTTAAGATCCTTGTGGCTTCTTTTTTATGATAACTATCCAGACTTTGTGCTAAGCAAAGCAGGTTTTTTTTAAGTCTTTGTAAGAAGTTGTGACATCGTTTGGTCTTGATTTCCTGCAGGGTAGCTGAAGTGTGTGTGTGTGTGTGTGTGTGTGTGTGTGTGTGCCGTGCGTTTGTGTGTGTGTACCAGTATCAGAGGTTTTAAGGTGTTGAGTAACAATAAGAAGAGAAGATAAAAGCCACCCATCCACTGGTTTTGTTTCCTGTGTCAGCAGGCAGCCGGGCGTATTTTCAGGTTTTCTTATTAACTTTCTGAGAAGGAAAAATGTAAATTGTGGAAAGAGGTGTTACTTTCTGCCCCTGTCTCTCCCAGCTGTTCCTATGATGTCATGGGGAGGGGAGGAGTTGGGGAGGGGGGGGTCTTTTGGGTGATTTGTGGCCTCCTGGGGAGCTGCGGGGCGGGGCTACAGTGATGTAAACACAGATAAAAGGTGGCATGCAGCTCTTCGGGGTCTCAGTCTGGAGAAAGTGGTTTAAACTTTCACTACAAACACGTGTTGCTGCTGCTGCTGGATTTACCCGGCCAACTCTGACACGGCGCTGCTTTTAGCACACTACTGGCGCCACTTTCTCTGGATTTAAACCTAATACGCACCACTACCTCTCTGATTTTTTTTATATTTTCTGCTGGTTTTTTGTTTGTTCTCCCAGATGCTGCAATCAAACATGTTGCAAAGCTTCGCTCAGTCGCAGGACTGGCTTTACTCGGACCCGCTGCTGTTTGACGATGAGTTCTGCCAGAGTTTGATGAAGGACCTCCAGTCGCTGCCGACACCGCCACAGTCCCCCTCTATGAAGGCCGGGGCCGATGGCAGCAAGCCCCTGTCTAAGGAGGACCAGCTGAGCTACGTGTCGGACATCCTGCTGGAGGATCATGACATGCAACTCAACTGGAACTACGACTTCTTTCACCATGATGCTGCTGAGAAGGATGGCGAGCCCAGTGAGCCCTGCTCCCCCCTGGAGGAGAGCGGCGAGGACCTGTGGCGGTGCCTGGTACCAGACAAGGGCCTGGAGGAGAAGCTGGTCTCCTCCATACTCGGCTCCAGCCCGCTGCTGTCTGACATCAACACCAGCATATTTGAGGAGATTGCCGGCTCCACGCTGGACTGCCAGAACCTGATGGACACTCAGGAGACCAGCGAGGCCACATCGGACAACGGCTCAACCGGTTGCGAGCTGTCCACCTATTCATCCAGCGACTCTGGTGAGCTGAGACCTTATCCTCATTTAACATTCATGATTTTCTTCCATAAGAAGCCCAGATATTGGTTGTTGTGAGTCTTCAAGAGTGCTTCATGATCATATTTTTAACAAAATGCTGCCTTTTTAAATTCTTTATACATGAATTAACGGTTCAGTTAGGGTGACCATATCAAACGTTTATCTCATTCCCGCTTTGTTATTGTGCAGCTTATCAGTATAAACAGTCCTCGCCCAGAACCGCTTCACTGGCATTTCATTGATAATTCACTGTTAATGTTTAGTGGCACTGAGCCCATAGGAGCCTTTAAGAGTTGTTGAAGCGTGGGCGGGGCTTTAGCTGTTGACTGACATGAGTAGATGAGAGCTTTGAGGAAGGAGAAATGACTAAGGGCGTGTGTGTGTGTGTATATGTGGGTGTGTGACTGACTCATGTTCAGCGGTAACAGTTGTGGCTCTATCCATTAACCCGTAATGAGTCACTTCACTGACTCGAGCCCTCTGGCATCCCTGGGTATGAACCAGGGAGGAAGAGGCAGACTGGCTATCGAAGAATTACTCATTGTTATAATATGGTCATTAAGAAAAAGGCCTTTTTTTTGGGAATAGTCATTTTTTTTACTACCTATTCATTTTTACAGTAAACAGCTTTTCATGCTTCAGTTTCACTTGAAATACTTAATTGTACATTTGACCGAAACTGTTGATGTGATCTGGAGCTGCCTTCCCTCCATTAAGAGTTACGGTATGAAAGTAAGATTTTCACTACTGATGAGTTTACTACTGTGTGTGGGTGGGTGAGAGACCCACATTGGTGAGCTGTGTACAGTAACTACACCCTTGTTTTTGTGTCGGCCCTCCCACGCCTTCACCCAGGAGATAAAATTACCACATGGGTCAGGAAACAAGGTTGTGCCAGAGAACTCATTTAACCCGGCTCTCCTTTCTTCTTCTCTTCCCTCTAACAGAGGAGGAAATTGACGTGGTGACGGTGGTACGCTGTTCCCCCAGGCCCTCCCCTCTCCCCTCATTGGCTGACCTGTCTGTCCGTCAGCAGAAGGAAGAGGAGCAGCGAGCTCTCAAGCGCCACCACTTTGAGATCCAGCTGCAACACAACTACGCCGCACCCCGTCCCGCCTCCCCGCCACCGCCATCATCCTCTTCCAACAAGCGCTCGAGAGGCAGCGAGAGTTCATCGCGCTACCACCACTCTTCGCGCAGCTCTTCCTCCTCGTCGTCCTCTTCGTCACGGTACCATCACCACACGTCCCGGAACTCAGCAGAGACGGAGGATGAGGAGGAGCGGCGGCGGACGCACAACGTGATGGAGCGGCAGCGGCGCAACGAGCTGAAGAACTGCTTCATGCGCCTGCGCGACAACGTGCCAGAGCTGTCGCACAATGACAAGGCGTCCAAGGTGGTGATCCTGAAGAAGGCGCGAGATTGCATCTACGGCCTGGAGGATGAAGGCCACAGACTGCAATCCAAGAAGGACAAACTTCGAGCCAAACAGGAAGAGCTGAAAGCCAAGGTGAAACAGCTCACAACAGGGGCGGATGATGGGCTACATTTGTAGACGCTTAGAGACAATTCGGGTTGGGGGGCGAGGGTGGATAAGGGAAGAGACTTTGTACAAAGACAGAGAGACGGGCAGGATATGCTGAAAAGAGCGCACAAAGTTTGACATTTCAAGGACTTTATGGTAACAATATCTCTGGACTGTAAAGACATTTGCAACTATGGACAAACACAACACACTCATTGCCTCAAAATGTATCATTCTCATGCCTTGACTGCTGACTGTTGTAGAGAGTAGGATGTTTTTAAAGTTGGAACGAGGACGGAGCGAGCAGATTCTTAGTTTTTGTTTTTTGGCTGGATGCACACTGAAAGATCCGTAGCTCTTTGTTGTTGTTTATTCCATCCCATTTGGGAATCCGTACTTTGGGGATGCCAAATGGCGAAGGGGGAAAATGATGCAGCGCCTGTTGGGTCAAATAACTGGAAGCCACATCAGCTCAGTAGTTGACTAAAACTTGAATATGGTGGTTTCAGGACGTCTTATAGCCATACTAACCAGTGATCCCTCCACGGTGTGATGATGGCTTTTAAAGTTATTTGGTCCACTGCAATTTCTGTTGATTCCAGTTAAATTCCAGTTAAATGCTATTTTAACAAGAAGAGGTTCTTCAGTGTGCTTCCAGCCCTGTTGGCCTCAGGCGGACCCAACACCACTCAGTTATCAGGTTAATGTGTGTCAATGACAGTACTGTATAGACCGGGGTTGATACTGTACACATAACAGTGCTCGGCCTCAGTTCAGTTCACCGCCAGCTCGCTCTCTTCAGAGTGCGTGTGTGTGCGCGTGTGTCTTCTAGTTTGAAAATATATAAATTACTTTTCTGTATTAAGTATTTTTCATTAATAAATAGTTTAAACTCAAAGGTAGCCATATTAAACAGCATTCAGGTTTTGAGGAGACCGAACTGGAAAGTGAACTGAACTGTGAGCCGTGCTATCGTAGCAAATCAGCCAAAGTCTGGACAGAAAACGTCTGAATAACATTTGCATGTCCGAAACAGAGTGACAGACTGATGGTGTCCTAACATATTAATATTAATAATATTATTATTATTATTATTATAATTATTATTGTTTTTTAAAAGGTTCTGGTTAGAGGAAGCTGTAACAGCGATACTGTGACATTTAGTTAAGTTTGCCAAGTATGAATTTACATTTTTACCATGAATCCAGTGGAAAGTCCATTCATCAGTGGCCCTCATTGATCAAACTAGTGAAGATTTTCTGTGAGATTGTCGCTCAACATCTGATCGAGCTGCAGTGTATGGGATTTTTAAACCTATAATGACGGAGCATGTTGTTGACTGTAAAAGTAAATTTCAACCATGTACATGTTACATGTTACATGTACATGGCCACTGACAAACATTCCCCATTTTAAAAAAAGTTTAAAACGGTGATTCGCTGGCACCATTTTGTGCTCATCGAGCTATTATTTTTGACCACATGGACACAAGATAGACGCTGAAGAGAGCCGTGATATGCTGGTAAAAACGTAAAAGATTAAGGCTGTACGTGTTCACCAGGAGCCTGTTGTATCCGTTTGCTATCAGGTGTTTTGTCGAACTTGTCTTTGGGCTGGATCTGAAGTTTTAAATACCAATAATGGGGTTGAATGTTTAACTGAATGCCATTGTACTCTTATCAATAATTGCCAATGTTATCCATTAATGTGCTGTTTGCTATTGAATTTGCAAATGGAAAACATTTGCTTATTAGTGTCAAATGTCTTAAAATGCATCCTGTATCTTATTTAGCAGTTCTTCCTCCTTCAGCGTGGGTGAGCAGACCCTGGTCGGTAGGAATAACGAGAATAAGAGGGTGTTTTTAGCGGTAAAAACCTGTTCTGCCTTGAAATGCATTCTGTTCAGGACTCCTTGTTTCCTTTTTGATTATGTCACTGTCTGGTTAAAACCTCGCCCGCTTCTATTATGAGCTAGTTTTTTTTCAGGGAAGCTTCCAAACGTCTCCGATTATTGGTTTTTATTTTTCCTTTTTGTAGAGCTTCACAGTCACAAAGAGCAGCCTCCTGAAGTAAAGATTCAGAGGTTTTGACGAGACAGCAGGGATGATTTTTCTTTTCTTTTCTTAGCATGATACAACCTACCTCCACCTGGCTGCAGCCTGTAATGTTGTTTTTTCTGGTTTAAATATTGTACAAATTTTTTTAAAAATGTAAATATTTTTGTTATTGTATCATAAATTATTTTAGTCCTTTTTTTTTTTTTTTCTTTGTTCATTTTGAGTTTTGTGGATTTAAAAGAAATGTTATTCTTGACAAACAGCACTTTTTTAAATATTGATGTAATTAAATAATGAATGAGATTTGGGAAGTCTGTGGTTTTATTGCATGCACACACAGACACACACACACACACACACATATATATATATATATATATATATATATATATATATATATATATATATATATACCAGATTGGATGGCAGGAAAATTGTAGTCTTTAATATATTTGCATAATTGCATAAAGATACAACTTCAAACATTAGATAGTTCTCACTATAGCTGATAAAGCTCTGAATGAATATGGAATAAAATCTTTGCTGCGTCATTGCTGCCTTTACAAGTTATACAATAAATGTTTAAATCAAAGAAATAAACAGAAACCTAGAACTGTTGAGTTGGTTGTCAGTTTCTATCATTATCCGGGTTGGTTAATACATTAGATCCAATGTGAGCACAGTTACCGTAACAAGGTTACTTTTTATGGCTAACAAGTATCGAGGGATTACAATTTGAAACAGTACTTCATTGTGGGACTGCAGCGTCGATCTTAAATGATCACAGAAAGCTTTTTTGGGGGTCGGCTTGTTTGGCTCGATATTAGGGGATGACAGCGTGGGGAGAACAGCTTGCTAGCTACGAGGTGTTTAAACCAAGAAACAGCATTGCGTAACACACAAGGGGCTGCACTTTCTTTAGGCACTGGTGAGAGAATGAAATGTGATCCATGTTGTCCAGTTTGAGTAACAGATCCACGAGTTGGAAGGCTTATCGCATCCTAAAACACTGCACAGAGGTTGTTAATAGAATGAGACTGGATGTAAAAGAGTACTGCACCAATTTAGTTTTGCACTTCTGTAACACTGACTCATGACGGACAGTTTAAAACAAAAAGCATCAAAATGGATTCTACAGAACCTGAAAGAAATATGATCTTTTTTTATTCCGCACTTGTCAAAATTTGGCCACCTACATTACCCACAATGCAACTTGACCATCAGTTGTTTGGTAAGAGATAAGTCGTTAGCCTCGAGCAGAGATAAGGAGCGAGCTACAGAGGTCTGGTAAGCTCATTTCTCCTCTCCGTAACTCCACTCCAGATTTTGTTTCCAAACCGAGACTGACTCTAGTGACATCACTTGAGGCAATTCATCAGATTTCACACAGCTCTATCTGGAGCCACAGAAGGCTTCAAGCATTAGTACTCCCCAAGACATGTAAACAGACTTTGATGTGTAACACTGTGCAGACCCTGTTTAACAACTCTAGAAAGTTATTTTATCTTCCATTTGCGCCAGGAATTTGTGCTTCCATCTGTTTTATTGGCAGATGCCGTGCATTGCAGAATCTTGGAGCAAAAGTTGAACAAGGTTTGGCTGGAGTCTTGGCTCACTGTAATAAATGAGCCGTTAATCCGTCTCAAACCTGGTATTATATTGGTTTAAAAGTCCTCCTACCCATGGCACATCCTCACAGGTGTCACAGGTACCTCTGCTCAGGACTGTATAGACTCGCATGATTTGACATCTCTTGTTGCACCTATTAGGATGGTGAATGCTTTGTATTGGTACACTGAGAGAGTGGATCTTGTGATTTCCAGAATAGTTCAACATCTGAGCGGTGGGGTTAGGCAGAATGAGTTACCACCTGCTGCTGTGCAGGTGGTAGTTGAAGGTAGTGAAGTTCATTTTACCTGTCCATACTGCAACTGAAAGTGAGTCCTTCCTTCCACAAATGGACTGTAATGGTACAGCTCATGGTAGGATCTTGGAAGGCAAAACTCACCCGTGTAATGTGCCGAATATTGTAAGTATAAACTGTGGGAGCTAGCATGGCTGGCGGTCTAACAACAGCTTGTACTATTTGCAGTGCAGTCATCAATCAATATATCCTATTGATCTTCTGAATGAGAGGTCAATCCCACCTCCCCTCTCTCAAGCTGGCAGGACATTGGATAGCCTTGAGGTTTTGCATGTCAAAATGCAATCAGATTGAACTCCCCATCCTCACTGAAACAAACGAACAAACCACACCATGAGGAATCCGCAGTCCTCATTCTGTGCAAAAATGCTTTACTACACACACCTGTCACCCTCCCCCGGCGGCCCCTCCCTGGCGTAAAGATATGTGAATGTTTTCTCGGGTCAACGTGTGAGGCTGCAGCAGGAAACTGTTGTGCAACCTGAGCTCAGTCCATGTGTCCCAATGTGCATGTGGAGCAGGTGGACATGTGCCAGATAGGTGTGTGTGTTACAATCTCCAGAGTTTCTATGTTATCTCGTTCCTGTGCAGCGTAGGTGTTTCTTTTAAATTCACTTTCGGAAAAACGTTTCCTGCACCTGTTCAACAGCCAAAACTGCCATGTTCAGTAATTTCCTTAATTTCCAGTTGATTCGAGCCTCAAAAAGTTATTAAAGTTCTACAGAGGACTCCTAACTTCAACAATAGGAAAAAGAAATACTGATTGGCAACAAGCACAAAACCTTTATGTTTAGCTTATGTTGTTTCCAAGCCAACCATGGATTCATGTTTCTAAACTTGTGCATTGACAGCGACAACAGTTACCTCCAAAATAAAATCTGTGGTAGCCTCCCTGTCGGACACTCTTTGAAATGAAAGTGAAATGGAGTGAATGAGCCTGAGAGGTTTGCAAAAATGCATTTATAATACATTTATATAAATAATAATTTATAAAATGCAACAGGGAAACAAATAGGCAAAACACACATTGACTTTAAGTGGAGACTCAAACATTTTTGTGAATGGTTAGTGCTTTATTTTGGAATTAAACTCTTAAATGAAACTTTTCAAATATCTACAGGAGGAACAGAAAAGTAGATGGAGGTTAGGATCAGTTTATTTTAGGGTTTGAGAAAGAATGCCAATCAGTGAAGTGTTGTATTGGGTAATATAAGATAGCTGTAGTGTGTGTGAGTGCAGCTATGTAGGTCAAGGAGAGTGGATGACTGTCAGGTGTGTCAGATAGCAGCTAACAGATCTGTTCAGATGCCATAAAAGCCATTTCATCAGTGAGCGACAGATTAGGTTTGTTGTTTTATGAAAGAGTGCAGGGAGAGGCCTGATAGGAACTGTGCTAAATACACACATACCAACACAAACATTATCTCAGTCTGTTTTCCTGCTCACTCTGTTAGAACATGCAGCTGGTGGAAGGAGGGAAAGAGCTTTGCTAAAACTTTGCACCACTTGAGGCGTTCATCTGTGTTTGCATTTGTAATTCATATTAGTCCTAATTTCTATTTCTATTATATTTATTTTACAATCAGAGATCATTTCACCTGCATATCTGACAAAAACCTGGACCGACGGACCAACCTCGCCATCCCAAAAATGGTTAAAAACTATTAAAAACACATCAGTGAGTCACTCTGGGTTATAGGTTCCTTCATAACTATGAACACACACACACACCGTAGTTTATTCTGACTCAAACCCACATACAACATCCTGCTGTTGGAAGTGCTCACTAGAGCACCAAATTTGGATTCGTCCACTGCAGAAAATAGTCCCCAACATGTGTATGATGTCCTGATTTGTTTGCTGTAAAGTGCCCGGCTATAAATGATTGAGACTTATAAATGAAACTATATATTGTGAGACTTTTTTTTTAAAGATGTATGTCGGAACAGATGGGCTAGTGTATAAACTGGAGCTCACTGTCTTTTCGCCTTCATACTATAACTATTTGTAAGTTATGTTATACTGAGCGGCTGATCTCCAGGAAGGAGGAAACAAAATATCTGTCCCAAGGACAAAGGGAGTTTGATTTTGGGTGGAGTGTCACTTTAAAGTCACACTGTAACAAACCAACCCAGTGTGTGTGTGTGTGTGTGTGTGTGTGTGTGTGTGTGTGTGTGTGTGTGTGTGTGTGTGTGTGTGTGTGTGTGTGTGTGTTGGTGCAGGCGCTGTACAGTAGCTGACTTTGTTTGCTTCTCTTGTGGTTCAGTCACCCAAATACTCTGACTCATTCATTCTGATCTGCCACATCATGACAGAGGGAGAGAGAGAGAGAGAGAGAGAGAGAGAGAGAGGATGGACATGGAGAGATTGAAAAAGAATACAAGAGAAAGGAAACAAATGAGAAAGGGTGAAGAAAGCGGGGGAAGATAAAGGGGGAATGTGAGGAACAGAGGAGAAGCAGAGAAAGAGAAGGAAAAAGGCTGAAGTTTGTTTTATTTTCCAACTGTGCAGGAAATAATGACAGACTCACAGTTCTCTGGTTATAACACAACTCAGTCCAAGCCACATTCTGAATACAGACACTGGACCACATTACAGCAGACACGAGTCATAGATGTGCTGTGTCTGAAGTGAAATCCACAGTCGACCCCATCGCCGTGATCCTGTTTTACTGTACTACTAGGCTACTGTTCCTTTACGGTGTTACCGGCTGTCCCGTCTGCTGTCGGCAAAATGGGAAGAAAAAAAACTCCATTAACTTATTAGCAAGATGATTTCCCACATTGCTAGTCCTGTTGTCACACCGGGACTGGTAATTGGATTGCTGTGGCTCAGGAGGTAGAACGGGTTATCCACTAATCAGAAGACCGGGACTTCAATCTCCGGATTCTCCCGATGCATGTCGAAGTGTCCTTGAGCAAGATAACATACGGAACCCCAGATTGCTCCCATGCTGTTCATTAGTGTATGAATGTGTAGGAAAGCATTTCTTTACGTTCGCCATCACTCTGTGAATGTGGCATGCAGTGTGCAGCCCTTTGAGTGGTTGGAAGACAAGGAAGGCGCTATATAAGTACAGTTCATTTAACATTTTAGCAGTGATTTGCAGCCATTTTGCTTCCTGTTTGTTGACACTCTTCTAGTTCTTGCAATATCGCCACAGGTTTCTGATAGTCTGTTAGTCTCTGAGTCTAAATTACAACCAGGAGGCAAACATGGGCAATTGTCCTCATTCAGCTGCTCATTATCATCCATCTCTGCAATATGTGAACCCTAAACAAACACAGGCCCGTGCCACAGACCTAACAACTTTAGCCATATTCTGGCATTGTAAAAAATGCTTGCAATAAGATATAGCTTACAAATGTAAAATCAATCT